CTTCCCCACGATCGCCTACCTCGACGATCCATTTGCTGCTTGGCCTTCCGCGGAGGGTGGGATCATACGAGTTCGAGCTTGGCTCTGCGGAATGCATCTGGGCAGTTCTCTGAATTAGGGTCCCTTTAAACGACCCCCCAAAAACGGACCCCTAATTTAGAAAACCTTCCTATGTCTCTGAATTTGCAGCTTACAGTAGGGTTTTAGTGTCATTAACCGTTGCAACTACCGAGGCCACCTTCGTTTCCGCCGTCTTTGGACTCTTCTTCGTGCACTCTGGCGGAAGCTATGCGGCCTAGCGGTGCTCGGACCTTTCGGATTTTGGCTTCAGCAAGTCGGGTTTAGGATTTAGGTTTAGGGTTTAGGGTTTGCTACGGGGGAGTCACCGTGCTCGTGCTCGGTTTTGGTGTCTAGGAAGGTCTTTACTGGTTTGTTGTTTAGGAACCTAGAAGCTTCATCATGAGGAAACTACCTGAATTACAGAAGATTCCTAATGTGATAGCTTAATGGCTTAATGTAAGTTCCTTAAGTCGGAGGGTGCGGGCACCTACCACATGTATCACGGAGAACTCTACGCATGCGCCCTGTCCTCTCCGCAAACGCTCCTTCGGCATGGTTCTGGCCTTTGCGTTACACTCTGAGCCCCAGACCTACGCCCTGTACCCGAAACTCAGCTCAACTCGATAAGGAGTGATTGAACGAATCCAAGTCGGAAACCCAAAGCCCAAACCCGAAGCCCAACACCGAAGCCCAAGCCCAAAACCCTTTCGCAAGCAGTGGGAAGTAGTCAGGTTGGTCTTCATTTGGCCACTGACTCGCATCATCAAGAGCCTCGTAGAGGAGTCTGAGGGTTGTAGCTTCCATCCTTGAACAGAGCCTGAGTGTTTAGGGTTTGGGGTTTAGCGGTTCAGGCTTTAATATGGGGTGTCGTACGGCTTGTATTGGCGGTCTAGTGACAGTTCGGAAGACTATTCCTTACTGTAGGGTTACTTAATGCGGCCGTAGGAAAATCTGAGTCGTAGTGTTCTCAAGATTTCAACTTGAAGGCGTCCAAGTTTGCTCAAGATTTCAAGACAAAGGAGTCCAATTGTTCTCATGATTTCCGAAAGACTGCGTGCCCGGTACGAGTAGCGCGTGGTTGCAGGCTTCAATTTTCACACACCGAGTCTGCGCCGCAAGCAAGGCGACTTGCCAGAAAAGCCATCCGTACAGAGTCAACCTGAGCTGACTAGATTGCTATGAAATGCCTAAAACCCTCAGCTCCAAAATCCAGCCCCTAAACCCTAAACCATAAACCCCAACCCCTAAACCCTAGACCCTAAACCCAATATTCATTAAAATCATTAAAACCCTGAACCCGAAGCTGCTCAGAACCTCATCCCTTGCGCAGGATAAGGAAGCTCGCATCAACGAGGCGCAGGGTTTAGGGTTTAAAGGGGGTCTAGGGGTGAAGGGTTTAAGGTTTAGGGCTTAGGGCTTAGAACGGTTTAAGGTTTCGAGCTGAGGGGTTAGGGTTTAGGTTGGTCGGCCCTTTCGCACGTAAGATGCAGCATGTTAAACCATGAATCCTAACTGAATCCCTGAAGCCGAGTACCTGTGAATTACCACTTGTAGCTCTCTGAAGTCCAGCGGATAGTTAATTCTGAGATTACGTAGGATCCGCCATTCTGCAATGAGGAGCCTTCCTCAAGTCGGTGTTAGGCTACGTAGGGAACCTGTCAGCCCCGATCGCCATCGCAACATGGCTGAGCTCGGAACATCTGTCTTTTGAGGCCAAGCTGCCAAGTCCCCTGATCCAAAACGTAGACCCACTAATTTGAGACCCTCTACTTCTAAAGGGTAGTTGATACGGTGGATGATATAAATCCTGCATTACCTTAAGGACCCTAAACTATGGGAATTATGGTATATTCCTTATTATGGGTAATGCAGGATTTATATCATCAACAGTAGGAACCCGTTTTAGTTTAGGGAACTTTTGGATCCTTCCAGGGGTTGTGCGGGCAGGTCATGAAGATGATGGGCATGCCTGCAGAAGCCATCACCTTTGGATGGTATCTGACCTATGGGACATCATGGCTGCATGTTGAGGGTTTCGAATGGCGTATGCTGCGGATCGAGTGGAACAGGTGATGCAGTTTCGACATACTCGGGTGGCCTTGGGGAAAGCATTGGGGTGGGACGGGCTGTGCTTCTTGGGATTGTGCCATGGAAGCATCGTGCTAGGATTCAGCAGCATCTTGTCAGGAACGAGTTCGTGCTTCGCCTTTGCCGCCATGCGCACAGGGTGCGTCCAGAGTTGTTTTGCCAATTAGAAGGTCTCGGCACCGATGCTTCAGCTGATGGCCATGACTTCTTCTGGGTGTGCGGGGCCGTCGCACTGTGGTGCGACTTGCAGAACGTCGGACTGCATGGATCTTCCGACAGGGGATCCTGGTGTCCTACGCAGTGTTTCACAAGCAAGATGGATCATCCTTCCGATGTCACTGCCGCATCTTGTCCGCCGGAAAGGAGGGGGTCGTATCCAGGGGCACTTCGCACAGGCGCCGCAAAGCACCGCTGTGCACACTCAACGAAGTGCAAAGGAAACACAAGCAATAATGAGTATCGGAACGGCCTCCAGCCTGCACGAGGAGCAAGATGAGGGCTGCCCTTCCACTAAGCGTGGTCCTGTCCCCCGTGCGAAAGGCCACTGAAGAGGCGACTCCTCCTCAGCCTTGCTCCCCGCGAATCCGGTATTCTGGCGTTGCACACCAGATCTTTCAGGGTTGGCCTTCCGTTTGTTCGCGGCAATCAGATCCGAAGACTTGCTGAGCGAGCTCGGGACACTGTCGAGCAGATTCGCTGGCAGTTATGGGCAAGGAAATGCCAGTCTGATGAATGATTTCTCGAGGCATACATCAAGCCAGCCAGATGTAGTCGAGTTAGATCAGAGTCGGCGATGGTGGGAAGACCAGGCACTGCGGACTGCGTGTCAAATGCGACGTTCAGGCCTTGCCTGTGGCACTAAGCCGTGGTGCTGACTGAACCCTGACAAGTCTGGAAGGACGGCGCTTCACCATGTTGTGTGTGGGGTGGAGAAACACCTTAAGCCTGAGCTTCGATGCAACATGGATAATGCAGCTTGGGGCGGACGCTGTTGCTGGCCTTAGTTTTGTTCGTCGGCTTAGGGCACCGCTGAGGCCTAGTAGTGCGCTACAGTAGCCACCACTGCGACCTGCATGCACCCGACAACATAGACTCGTTTCTTCATCGTCGGCAGTCTCTGGAAGCGACTGTGGGCTCGATATGGTCCAAACGCTCATGCTCCGTGGCGAGATGATCTTGATGCGCTACCCTCCAAGCTTCCAACTGGCAGAATTCGAGAAACCATCACGTCCGGCATTATGAGGCTCCCACAACTCCAATGGCCTCCATGCCAAAAGAAAGCACAGGGTGGGGACACATCGTGGGAGCCTGTAGGAATCAGGAGACTCAGTCTCCCATCCGCAAAGCAGTGCATGGCGCGCTGCAATGTTGACATGCAGTAGTTTTCGCAGCCAGCCGGCAGGAAATGTGTCAACAAAAGGGCTGGCACTGTGTAGGGCCTATATTATACTATATTATACTATATTATACTATATTAGTAAATTTCTATAGTAGCACATCATCATATTATTGTTTATTATACTATATCACTATATTAGTATATTATTGTTGCAGTTCAAGCAGCTTCGGGCTGCATGGCAGCGACGTTTCTCCGGTTATCTAAGACTTGGCCGAGTGTTGGTTTAGGGTTTAGGTTTTAGGGTTTAGGGTTTAGGGTTTAGGCCCGTTTCGGCGGGTCTAACCAGACCCACTATCGCAAACGGTTTCTCAGGACAATTTTTGAACTTGCCGATTGATCTGCTTGTTGCATGCCACGTCATGTCTCAAACACTTCGTGACCAGCTGCAGCTGTGAACAGCTGCATCTGACGTCCCCTTTAGGACCCCGATAGAGTACGGCACCCGTCTGAAAAAGGACCCTCCAAAGTGACCCTTAATTTAGAGACTAGAGAACTACCCATGTGATGACGGAGCCACGTGCGGAGCCCAGGATTCTTTGGCTGATCCCTGCGACCCTGATGACCGTCATCTGCTGGGGGTCGGTTCCTGGGCCGAGTGAGCGGATATTGGGGGCTGGCGGAGTGAGTAGGCAAACTTTCTCGAATTTGGCATCCCGGAGCTTTTGCCTTGTGACTCCAAGGACGGACATAATCACATCTCCGATTCAGTGCTCTTGCGTGCTTCTCTTGCTTGGTGTTGCCAGGTCAACCTGTACAGAAGGTCAAAACTTGTAACCTCATTTCCAAGCCAAGGCCTGGTCAACCAAAAACCTGTCGTGCAAGGCTATTATTGCTATTATTACGATAATTACGATTAGTACTATTCTTACTATTCTTACTATTATTACTATTATTACCATTATTACGATTAGAACATGTTGTTTTGGATTCGGGAAGCCGAGGTGTTTCAGCACAGCAACAAGTTCGTGGTGTTCCTCTTCTTCTGGCTCTTCGGAATGTGCGCCAGGGCCTCAGATGGAAAATGTTGTCTCCACTATACCTATACTCAGGCATTGTCACCTCCATGCTGCTCCTGCAGAAAGCTTGCAGTGTTTTCTTGCAGGCAGGAACCGAACCTGGGTTTCCGGCGTAATGTTTAACTGTAGATCTTGTTCTGTTGGATCCGTCGTGACGAATATGCAAAGCCATCTCTTCCCAGCATCGACTTCGCAGGCAGCACAAACACCACAAAGTGCAAGAACACGAAGAGTGTGCAGCAGTCCTCGGTCAATCTTCTTTCGGTTTGGTCGTCAATATGAATTCACAGACATGTTGTCGTTGGGTCGCAGCCCCTTCGACGCCAGCTTCCTGGCGCCCTGAAACTTCAAAAAGCTCGGGAGCAACCGAAGCTGACCGCCTTGCCGAGGTCATTACGCTCTGCTCTTTCATCTCAGTTTTCTTTGCCACGGCGAAAATGGCCAGTGTCGTGGGAGCACTGCACCTTTGCCTGCACTTGGACGGACATTAGACGATACAGGTAACAACCAGGTGAGTTTTTGGACGGCTTCTTCTGTGCTGGGCCGCAGTGTGTATCCAACAAACACTGAGCCGCGCGCATTGGCAACATAGTTTTTTCTCATGGGCAGGAGCTGGTTCGTAGCAGAGGTGCAGCACAGCTTAGCCCGTGACATGTCCAGACTCTTGCCGACAAGCTGCTTCCGGCAGAAGGGAAAGGCTACTACTACTACTGCTACTACTACTACTACTACTACTACTACCACTACTACCACTACTACCACTACTACGACTACTACGACGACGACTACTACTACTACTACGACGACGACTACTACTACTACTGCTGCTACCACCACCACTGTGGGGCGCTACTGTAAGCGCCAGCTCTCCTCTCTTCTCAGCAGTCTCGACATCCCCTGCCCAGGATCTTCTTCCTCCTGTACTTTCCCTACATGCCCCTTGGCCTTCGGTTGGGGCCTTCGAAGAAGATCTGAATGCAGGAGCTTGTCCCCAAGCCTACTTAGAGGATCATGGGACTTAGTAAGTAGGTTATAACTGGGGTTATAAGTCCCCTAAGTGGGGTTATCCTAATTATAACCTACTTATCACCTTACTTACTAAGTCCCATGATCCTCCAAGTAGCACACCTGAAAGCCAGTCAAATCGGGTTGAGCTCTCGGGGTTCCTGGGTGTTGTCGACGCGCTAAGACAAACCAAAAGGCTTGCTTCGTAGGGGCTTGCCGACATTTCGATAAAGGTCATCTGGCAAGGTATCGTTGAGCCACGACCCTACCAATGGGAATCCCCCGTGTGTGTGTGTGTGTACTTTGGGGACGTTCATAATTACCTATATATAATCATTGTACAACTGGCTCCAAAACCCTATTCTAATTATGAAGGCCCCTACATTACTCAAAGGTTTGTCACCGACTCCGGCGCGTCCGTCAACACGAAGCTCTTCGCATCGCTGTCGCCGCCGGTGGCGCTCTCCATAGGCGATTTCTTGAGTAAGTTAGCAAGATATGTTAGCGTCTTGGATGGTATTGGGGGTATTTGGGTCTAGGGTTCAGGCTCGAATTTTTCCTGGCTTGGTCCTGAGGTGCACCTTGCCCTGAACCCCAAACCCTAAGTCATTGACTGCAAACCACGTAGCCCTGAGGCTTTTTGGACTGCCCGGATTTGTGCAGCCCCTCCCCCCTCCCCTTGCAGTCCTCTGAACCTTAAGCCCTCAAGCCTTTCTTAAAATCCTACGTTTGTTAGGGAGAGGCTCCTAAGCCCAAAGCCTTTCTTTCCTAAAATCCTACGTTTGTAAGGGAGAGGCTCCTAGGCACCAGCCTGTCGCAGGTGCCGGCCTGATCGCTCAGCTTGAGAGTGCTGGTGAAGGAGCTCAGGGGAGAGATTTCCCCTTTACCGTAGACCACTGACTATCCTCTATGGAATTATTCTGCATCATATCGTATGGCATGGTATCGTGTTGTAGTGTGTTGTACTATGCACTCTCACTGAGTAAGGGTGGTAAGTGGGATGCTAATGCTAGCGCCTTTGAAGAATAAGGTGTTCAGGGGTCCACATGGAGCTGTATCATGTAATTTCTGCCTAGTAAGCATCATGTTTGTGTTCATGCACGTTGACCGTCTGATTTTAGGAAGCAAGCAGGGTCAGCTGCCAAGACGAAGATGTCGAAGCTAGCAGTGCGTAGATGCCGCTCAACCCACTTTCCGCTTTACGACTTGCTGGAGTCGCTGCAGTGAAGGTATTATTTCGCCTGGCGGCCATGGCATTTTGCAGCTGTACTGTTATCGTGCCCTTTTGCTGCAGACCGCCGAATTTTGAGCACCTTATAGGAGGACTAGAATTAGCGAGTTTTAAAGCTAAACTCATGCCCTCAAGGAAGGGTGTTTTTAACACCATCATGGGTCTGCATTAAGCCCGCAACTCAAAGCTTCACTCAGAGCCTTAAAGTTCTCAGCTCTGAGGGGAGCTTTTCCCAACGCTGAACGCTAAGCCCTAGACAATTTGCCTCGCCTGGAGCTCGAGGAGTCGAGGGTTAACGGATGCACTGCACCTGAAAGCACCTGAGACTTTAGGGTTTAGGGTTTAGGGTTTACCCTCTGGACCGTAAGTCGTTTAACAAATTATAATCCGAGTCAAGGATCTCCAAGTCTGCCCAAAATCCCTAGACTCGAAACCTTAGCCGTGTCGGAGGAGTGCGATTCTCATCCCTGAAGCTTGAACCCTAAACCCAAATGCCACAATCCTTAATGCTAGATACAAAAACCCTGGACTTTGAACAGTGAGCACTTGAAGTTCTCAACTCGTAGGAGTGCGATTCTCCACCTTGAACGAGATGATCGACAATTCCTCCATGGCCCAAGTCCTGGCACCTCGGTCATGCTAGGCTCATCGAAGGTTGTTTTTAATTCTTTTGCATTCTTGTTGGTGCGTTTGTCTCCACGGGGCTCGGCGAGATTTCATTTCAGTGAATCCGAGGGTCTCGGGGCTGGGAGTTTGGGGTTCAGGGTACGAGAGTTTGGGGCTTAGTCGTACAGGGTTTGGGGCGCAGGGATTACAGGGCTTCGGGTTCGAGATGTCAGATCACCAAGGCGATGCTGCTGATCGACACGCTACTCTATGCTGGACTGGCATGGTACCTGGACAAGGCCCGAAAGGGTCCAAACCCCAAGCCCCATGCTACGGCAGTCGGGGGGATGCAAGGGCGTTTAGGTTTTGAGGGTTTTTAGGGTTTTAGGCTTAGGGGTTGAGGGCGTTTAAGGTTAAAAAGCCAACGGCAGTGCCGCTGTCCGGTTCTTCTTTCAGAAGATCATCTTGTTGGAATGTTGGAGTGGCATTCTAGCATGGACCTGATTATGCGATGGTGGGAGTGTAGACCATAACTCCCCCATAACCCCAGAAGGCCCAAAAGGCCTTGACAGCCTCAGTCCTAAACCAAAACCCCATCATAAACCTCGCTCTGAAGTCCTCCACCCCAAAACCCCAAACCCCAAAGCCTGAAAACATTGAGCCCTAAAGCCCGAGAATCCAAATCCCCAACTGCTCTTCAACCGCGCGCCCCTAGACCCTCGACCCCTAAACCCCTAAACCCCTGAACCCCCAAACCCCCAAACCCCAAAGCCCTAAAGCCCTAAACCCCGAAACCCTAAACCCTAAACCCTAAACCCCTAAAGCCCTAAACCCCTAAACCCCTAAAGCCCTATGACCCTGAATCCTAAACCCGCAGTCTGCAGTAAAGCCCTGAGGCCCTAGAGTCTCTTCAACCTCGCGCCCCTAACCCCTAAACCCCTAAACCCGCAGTCTGCAGTCTGCAGGTCCTGGTCGTCGGCTTCGGAACTCGAGAGCGGTGGTTCTTCCCCTGCACTCGGCAGTGCCCCCGCGGTAGCTGCTTTAAGTGTAGTATGTCGTTTATATAGCCGTGTAGATAGATAGCTAGATCTTTAAGTGTAGTATGTCTGTTATATAGCCGTATATCGATGGATAGATCACCAGATCGATCGATAGATAGATAGTCGTATACACAGCGTTGGCGATTTACTGGGTTCTTGCAACGGAATGTGATGTAAGTTGCCATGTCATGAATCTTATTGTTTGCTATAGACGCATGTTTATGTGGACTCAGAAAAGATGCCTTAATCCTAGGACTCGTAAACGAACCAGAAAGAAAGGGGGCAACTTCAATAAAGCTCCTTGACAAGAAGACCCCGGTGAGTCCCCAGAGATCCCGATACCCCTTAATTAAGAAATATACCGTACATTCGTAAGTTACAATAGGATCCCCAATATGATTTATAAGGCTTTAAGGCATATTCCTTAATTAGTCGCTCTGAAGTTTCGGAGCAACGCGTGCTACGCAGAAAGCGCTTTAAGAGCTTGGATCCAGAATGTAGATCCCAAATCGCAGCGTTTGGGGTTCAGGATTTAGGGCCTAGGGCCTGGGGTTTAGGGGTCAGGGTTTAGGGGTTTAGGGTTCAGGGTTTAGGCTTCCGGATTTAGGGTTCAGGGTTTAGGGTTCCGGATTTAGGGTTCAGGGTTTAGGGTTTAGGGTTTAGGGTTCAGGGTTTAGGGCTTAGGGTTGAGTCATTGAGGGTTCAGGGCCAGGGTTTCGAATGTAGGGTTTAGGACCCCGGATATCTGAGACTCCCGCGTCTGACAGGTACTGGAGGCCTCAAACGAGCGTGATGTCTGAGGCCCGTGCGGCAACCCGAAACCCTAAACCTCTAAGCCCTCAACCCTCAACCCTCAGCCCCAAACCCTCAATCAAGCCCAACCCCAAAACCTTAAGCCTTCAACCCTAACCCCTCACCCCTAACCCCGAACCCCTAAACCCTGTGCAAACCCTTTTAGGTCCTAAGGCCCGAGCCCAAAACCCCCCCACGCCCCGCACTTCCTTTCTGGCACAGTCGGAGCTCCAAGACCTCGAGCAGGGCTTCGACGACGCGCAGCCGCCGAGCAGGCAGCGCGAAGAGCAGAGCTTTGGGAACCCTAAGCAGGGTTTAGGGCCTTTAGGGTTCAGGGTTTAGGGTTTAGGGTTTAGGGCCTTTCCCAGATTTCCGGGAGGATCCAGAAAGTAGATCCCCTAATTTGGGGCCCTATACTACTAAGGGTACTTTACAGGAACCCCCATTAAGGGATCTACTTTTTGGATCCTCCCGGGGGTCTGGGTTTAGGGGCTCAGGGCCTTTAGGGTTGGGGGCTTCAGGTTAAGGATGTAACCCCATTCATCCCTGAACCCCTTCTAAGCGCCCCTAAGACCCCACACCGAAAACCCCAAGAAGCCCCCCCCCCCACACCTATTTGAACCTCACTGGGAGGATGTACCTAAGCCCTACATCTGAAACTACACTGTAAGGCGTGAAGGCTTCAGGGTGGTGTCTTTAGGGAGGCAGCCAAAGACCGGACCTAACGACTTCCGGGTCACTTGGATGAGAGCTTCGAGCTTTTCCCACCGCCTTTCCTGTGTTTCAGCTCGGGAGTGTCAGGAAGCACTCTTTTGAGATCCGCCTGTGAGCACAAACGCCACTTCCTTGGTCATTCGGGCCACATCGCAGGGTTCTGAGCATAATGTTCAAAGCCCCCTAAGCGCTAAGCCCAGCTCCCCAATGATCTTTGCACGGACCCCTCAACAGCCCAGGCACGAGGCCGTTCCTGCATCGATGTCGGAGCAGCGCAGCATCCTGGTGCGAGCCTGTACCCAAATAGCAGATATTGATACCAAAGGCTATCCTCTGAATGGCTTTAGTGACTTAAACCCCTAGTATCAAATTGTCTGCAAACTGTGCCTCCACCGAGGCCACCGAGCGAGAAAACACTGCGGTGGTGCATAGATGCCCAGTGAGAAGCCATGAGATCTCATGGCCTAAAGGGGGGGCCCTTTCGGTGGATAGAACATTTATCCAGAGGATACTTATTCGCATAAGTACTATACCTTCGGACATTCTGTCTATGGAGAAGACATGCACCGAAGTCGGGACTGGAAGGGGGCTGAGGGAGGGATGCAGTGTTTCAAGCGGGGTTTGCATCGCCAGGCCACTCTCTTCGGCCTTGATGTTCATATGCATAGAATACAATATCATTCCTTAGGCCTTAGGGCTTCCTTTCTATGATTACGTTATAATGTGCTACCGAAAAGCCCTAGTCTAATGATTTTGGCCCTATAGTACACGCTCCGGAACTTGAAGCTTCAACTTGACTTCGATGTTGATCTCCCGCATCGCCGAGGAAGCCTTTGCAAAGATTTCAAGGCAGCAGATGGCAAGACCATCCATGCGGCGCCCTGCCGAGATTCAACTTGTAGGAAAGCCTCCATCCCAAGAAGTGACGGGAAAGACCCGGCACCCCGAGCCGAGCCTGCAGTCCTGACCATCTGCACGGAGAAGCTGCGTTGGTGCGAGACAACTTGTGACAATATGACATGAACGACACTTCGCCACGTCTCGCGAACCTGAAGCCACATGTCCGTCGGTCCAATCACTACTTACATAGAGGATCATGGGGCTTAGTCATTAGGTCAGTAGGGTTAGAAACAAGGTAGCTATAGTAATCATAGCTCCAATTCATGTACTTATAACCTTACTTTCTAAGTCCCATGATCCTCCAAGTATCCGACCCTGAGACAAAGCCACCGCCTGCACAAAGGTGCGAGATGCCCTCGCCCCAGTGCAGGGGCAGGGGACGAGAGAGGAGAGGGGGGGTGGTCAGGAACAGCATGTTGAAACAGAGGGTTTCGGGTTTTAGGGTATGGGTGTAGGGTTCTCAGAGAGTTTTGTAGAGAGCCTTTGTAAGACCCTTAGGAGAAGCCGTTGGAGCCGCGGCAGGTCCCTTCTTGAGCAAGATGTGCGGTTTCAGGCTAAAGGTTCGGAGTGCATTTCAGACTTGTCAAGGGCTTACAGATTCAGGATGCCTGTGCTGGGATTCTCTATACTTTACCTTACGGGCAAGAGTATAGTGATGTTCCAACTTTCTGGCTTCTGCATTAGGGTTTTGGGTTCAAGGTTGAGAGAATGCTTGGTCTGAAGTCTGAAGTGAGGTGAACATGAACCTCTACAGCGGTCAAATCTTCTGCCTTCTGGGCCACAATGGTGCAGGCTTCGTCCGTGGCCGGCTCGCTGAGAGCGAGAGACAGAGAGCGAGAACCCGCTCGCCGTAGATGCCTCAACCCAGTGCGCACTTGCGTGTGGGGAGGTAGGGCAGCTGCCTCCTTTGGCTGTGTGGAAGAAGAGAGACAGAGAGAGAGAGAGAGAGAGAGAGAGAGAGAGCGAGGGAGGGAGCGAGGGAGGGTCCGGGACCAAAGAGAGAGAGAGAGAGAGAGAGAGAGAGAGAGAGAGAGAGAGAGAGAGAGAAAAGAGAAGGAAAGAGAAGGAAAGAGCGACAGAGCGAGGTAGCTGTATGCAAGCCGCTGCCCAGAGGTTCATGCAGTCACCATCGCCTATGCTTGCTTGCCTGATCTGCCACAGGCAAGACGACGACCATCAACATGCTGAGTGGCATGCTGCCCGTCTCTTCAGGCTCCCGCCTCCTGTCCTTCGGAGACCCAGGGTTGCCGGGGACCCCAATAAAGTACCTTAAATAATAGGATCCTTATTATCACCCTAAACCCTAAACCAAAAAATGAGGTATCCTAAATTGTAGGATCCTTATTATATTGATCCAAGAATAACGTAACCCTAGATTTTCGGAAGCGGTCTCGTCTGTTTCAACGGTTTCTATTTCACAGGTGCAAACGCTGCCGCTCCAGAGCTTAGTTTGAGGACAGAGCCCATAAAGTCCTGCTCTGGCTCATGTGGGAGTTCCAGCAACGTCTTGTTACTGTTTTTGTTATTAGTAGTGTCATTCATAACTATTTAAGGATCCTACCATTTAGGATACTTTTAGGGTCGCTAAATCCTATACCCCAAACCCTAAACCTACAATTTAATGTACTGTCACCATTGTAGAACATCAA